ACAGCAGTGGTTCTCAACCCTGGCTGCTCATGGAATCACCTGAGGAGTTTTAAAAAATACTGTTGCCTAGGTCCCACCCCCAAATACTCTGATTTAATTGACCTGGGCTGCTCCTTTGGTGATTCTAATGTGCAACCATGTTTGAGTATTATTGACTTAAAGGGTTCCTAAATATGGTAAGAGAAAATGAGCTTTTCTGGAATGAACAAAACATCTTGGAGAAGCAAGGGACAAGGGGTGCTTTCCTGCTCCAATCTAGAGAAATTTCCTTGATTTGTTACCCTAGAGTAGCAGGAATCTGGGTTCTGGCTTCCTTACAGCCTCACTAGAGAGGTGAGAAGACTCCAGAAAGAATGACAGCGTGGTGTACCTGGGCCAGTGCTTCTCATACAGGGACGTGCATGTGAATCACCATTGTGAAAATGCAGATTCTAACTCCGTAGATCTAGGGTGTGGCCTGAGAGTCTATATTTCCTAAACGTTTGTAGTTGATATCAACACTGCTGGTCCACAAAGTGGGGAGTATCTACATGACTAGGATTATAGGCCATCTCCCTGAAGATTCCCGGATCCATTTCAGGAATAGAATAGAAGGAGCCACAGTCTGTCATACCTGAAGGGGCCCATAGGCAGGGACAATGGACCTAGTTTGATAGATGACAGAGGAGCAGATGGACCCCAACTGCAAAGGCTAAAAGGGGAGCACCTCCTTGCAGGGGATCCTCATGTCAGGGTCCTGGCAGATCACAGATGGCCCACACAAAAGGGATGACTGAAGAGAGGAACATGAAGGGACTATTTACCAGGTTGAGGCAGGATTAATGGAAACCAACAAAGGATTGTGAGTCAACACTTCTCAGGTAGAAGGGCCAAAAGGGGAGGAAGCGGTGATGGGAACCCCATGAGAACTGTTGGAAAGGGACGCCTGAAGCAACTGTGCCTTCAGAGAAGCAGCACTTGAGAGCAAATGGCCCATCAAGCACAGGTCCAGGGGAGTAAGTAGGCCAACCTGGCCCTTCTCTGGCCCTCTGATTTCCTGCCGATGTCTCCCCTTGGCCCAAGCCACCTGGAAACCAGAGGACAAGGGAATCCAGTTGATGCAGCCCACCAAAGCCAGCATCAGAGCAGGGTGAAGGATGGAGAGCAGATCTGGAGGGGGACAAATGCAGAAAACCCAGCATGGTCCCCAACAATAAGGTGGAATGTTCTGCCAGCCCAGCCCAATGGGGGCTCAGCCCCAGCTAGGAACTAAGTTGGTATGGAAAATAAAGAAAATCAACTCTGGGAGGCCGAGGCAGGATGATTGCTTGAGGCCAGGAGTTCAAGACCAGCCTGAGCAAGAGCAAGACCCCATCTCTACAAAAGATACAAAAATTAGCTGGGCATGGTGGCCCACACCTGTAGTTCCAGCTACTTGGGAGGCTGAGGCAGGAGGATCACTTGAGCCCAGGACTCTGAGGCTGCAGTGAGCTATGATTGTGCCACTGCACTGTAGCCTGGGCAACACAGAAAGACTCTGTCTAAAAAAAATGGTAAGAAAAGAAAATCACACCTGAGTTTGCTTCTGAGTCTTATCTCTTATCGATGGGAGCTCGCCTGAGAGTGTCAGCGTGTCAGCATCCTCATGAATAACCAATGAATCGCAACCACTACAGTTGGCACTTTGGGGACAATGGCTGTGATCCTGTTGGAGAACTGTTATGCAGGAGAGAGGTGGACTTTCAGAAGTTCCTTCTGATTTCAGGAGTGTGTTGAGTATGAGCCACAAGCACTTGACACCTGCCAACAGGTGGACAACAGAAGGAAGAGAAAAAGAATGCAGCCTTGTTAGAGTTTGTTGATAATGCAGATTTCTCTAAGCTTCTTGGAAAAATACTTAGAAAGGCAGAGGTATGAAAAGTTATCTTTAGGGCCCCCAACTCACATTCTGAATTTCCTAAAAACAAAACTAAACTAAACTGCCCGATCATCTTTCTGGGAAAAGAAGGGCACGGGCCTGAAGAACTTCAGCCCAGGGGAAAGGTAGGGATCTGATTCATTTAGAATAGCTCTTGGGGGCCTGAAATTTAGCACTAGTTGGGTTCCTGGCTTAACCTGTGAGTTTTTCCAGCGTCCAAAGCCGGTAAAGGGAGAGGGAAGTAGAGATGGCTACACACCTGTGAGGTGAAGGGAGCCAGGTACCGAATGTGAGATTTCAGAGGCATCTTCTCAGACCTGGCTGAATAGAACAGCTGCGGAGTTCTCATGGCAGTAAACAGAATTTCCACTGGTATCTCACAGTTCTTTGAAAAGCCAGGTAGGAGCTCCATGTGCAGGAGGATACCTGAGAGCAGGCTGCCAAGGCAGAGGGACTCTACCTGTGTGCCCCTTCATCTGCCATCAGTGCAGGGGCCAGAGGACATTTTAGGAGAAACTGAGCTTTGGAGGACGAATCAGAGTTACAAGTAGAGTCCAGGTCTTCTCGACCTTGAGAGTTTTACTTCTCCTGCTGCCTCAATGCCTCAGAGGGTTTCAACACTGTACTGTACTTTGGTTAAAGAACTGAAGCTATCTAAGCCTGATCATTAGAAATTGTTCTGAGATCTACTACACATTAAGTGCCAAAATAAATTCCAGGCTAATTAAAAAGTTAAAGAATAAATATCATGATGAAAGAATTAGAAGAGAGAACAAACATTTCATTGATCCTAAGATGACCAAGGCCTGTCTAAGCACAATAGCAAAAAGAAAGCAATAGATTTGAGATACATGTGTATGTATATGCAAGTGAATATATCATATTAAAAATTTATGTATGATTAAAAAATCATCAAAAATAAAATCAGTAAGAAACAAGTTGGGAAAAATATTTGTAACATATATGATTAACAGTTAATATCCTTAATATAAGCGGATGAAGAAGAAATAGATGACCATCCCAATAGAAAAGTGCTGATGGCAATAAACACATGAAAAATATTAATTAAAACATTAAAATATGACAAAATACTACTACAAAATAATAGTTCTTCTGGATTAACTGAGATAGGAAAAACATAATATGCAGTATTTTAAAGAGTCTAAAGAAAGGGGCATTCTTATACATTTACATCTGGAATGTAAATTGGTTTCATTTTTCTGGAGGGTAATTTGGCAATTTATACCTTAAAATGTGCACAACTTTTAACTCAGCAATCCTCCTCTAAGAATTTATCCTAAGGAAACAATCAAGAATGAACCCAAACACTTATGTACAAGAATGTTTATTGTGGTGTTAATAGTGAAAAATCAGGAGGCGGGAGTACTGAATCAAGATTTGACAGAGTTGTGTGGTGGGTACATGGGCTTCACTACTGTATTAGGTTTCTACTGTTGCTATAACAAATTACCCTAAAATTAATGGCTTGCAACAACACGAACTTACTATCTTACAGTTCTGTATTTCAGAACTCTGACCCAGGTCTCACTGGGCTACAACTGAGGTATTGGCAGGGCTGTGTTCATTTCTGGAAGCTCCAGGGGAGAGTCCATTTCCTTACCTTTTCCAGCTTCCAGAGCTGCCCACACTCCTCAGCTCATGGTCCTCTCCTTCCACCTTCGAAGCCAGCAACATAGCATCTCTCAGACCCTTCTTCCATCATCACATCTCCTTCTCTCTCTTCTGTCTTCCTCTTCCACTTTTGAAGACTCTTGTGATTACACTGAGCCTACCAAGATAATCCAGGATAATCTTCCTAGATTTCACTTGCCAAGTAACTACAGGTCCTGGGGATTAGGTCATTGATGTCTTTAGGGGCCATTATTCTGCCTATACAATCGTAGTATCCTATATCCCTATCTGCATGAAAATAATATTTATCAATATCTTATTATTTGAAATATCAAATATTTAAGAACCCAAACCTAATGTCCATTTTCGTATATGGTTAAAACGAGAATATATAGTTATAGGATAAATACCGTGTGCCTATTAGCTATCATAATGTAGGAAAATACGTAGTAACATGGAGCAATGCTCATTAATTATATAGTAAGTGAGAGGGAGAAAAAATCAAGTCTAAACAAGATTATGTAAAAGATGATCCCAATTACATAAAACCAAAATCCAAGATAAACCTTCATGCGAGTGAGTCAAAAATGTTTAGAAGGACATAGGTCAAAAGTTAGCAATGTTTATCTCTGGATGGTAATTTAAATTTTCTTCTATTTGCCTGCATTTTTCAAGATGTATATTATACATGTATTCCTTTTGCAAAGAGAAATAAAAGGTGATTAAGAACATCTAGTTGGTACAGTTTTCTGGTCAAGGGTCTCCCTGGTTTCTCAGCTTTCGGTCACACATGCTCACCCCCGTCCTTCAAGTTTGTCCTTATCAATATTCACGTCGAGCTATCGGTGGCATCCGCCACTTTTTCAGGCCCCATTTGTTGGCTCTGGAAAGTAAGTGTAATCCTCGGAGGGCAGGAAGGGGCCTCTGGTTGAACCAAGCACAGCAGCGAATCGGGGCTCTTTAAACATTTTTTCAGAACAAAGCCAACCTAAGGCACAGCCTCACCACGCAGAGAACTTCGAGACCTGCACCTTGGAAGGGGGATCCACAAGGATATGAGCCTCTTTCATAACCTCGCTGGAACATATTAATGGTTAATAATACTGTATTTTTTAATACACAAAAGAACACAGAATAGTGGCATCGTCCCGTGTGCCCACCCGCACACGGGACCGAGAGCGGACGGGCTCGGTGGCCGGGGCCGTGGGGTGAGCGGCCCGCCGGGTTCCGGGAAGGCGCGGGCAGGGAAGGCCCGAGGCGGCCCCTCAGCCCGCCATACAACCGCCGGAGCCTGGCCCCGGGCGCCGCTGGCCCAGCGCAACGCCGGCGGCCCTAGCCCGGGATCCCGCAAGGTTCCGACAGCCGACCTTCACCCTGAGCCTCAGTCCCGATGGAGCGACTCCACCACCGAGAGGAGGGCCTAGAGCGGACAGGCCCGCCCCGCCTCTCCGCTCCGCTCCTCCCAGCCTCCTCTATCCCGGAAGTTGATGCCGAGCGCCAGATCGCGTGCTGCTCGCCAGGAGTGTCGTCTGAGAGGTCTGGACCAGCTGGACTTGCGAAAGCATCAAGATGCCTGTGAGTTGTTTGCTTCGGCCTCCGGGGTTTGTTTCGGGCTTCTCTGTCAGTTGAGGGGGACAGGGGGCGGATGAGCCCGACGGCTCCCCAGGCCTGTGTAGCTCCCTGCCGAACGTGGCGAGGCGGCTGCGATCGCGCAGCTTCTTCCCGAGTGTGGGCATGTAGGGACTTGCCCGGACAGCGCGGCGTGGCGGGCCCTGCATGGGCGTGGGCTGCGGTCTGGAGTCGGCGGCTGGGAGGGGAACAGCTCCCTGGGTAACTTGTTCAGTCCTCTTGGTTTTTAGTGGGCGCCCGCGAGGCTGTGATCTTTGGGGTCCTGCTTGTTTCCTTTTTAAAAACTGTCTTCGTTGTCGCCTTATATATTAATTCCATCAAGGACGGTCACGCCTCAGCCACTCAGAGTTCATGTGAGATCAGATGTTGAACCCTGGGAGCAGAAATCACCCTAGCGTTGGCGTTCTCTGGTCCACTTCAGTTTCTCCTCTCAGCGAGTCCAGAGTCCGAGTCCCATTCTTAGCGCAGCGCCACAGTTTTGTTTTTATTGAAGACTGTTATTCAGCTGAGTAAAGGAAGGGGTTAGCCTTACCATATGCTTCCTGATCGTCATAAAGCCCTTTTATAGGGGCTTGGAGGACGCAAGCATTATAAAAAGTATTCGTGAAAGTTATTAACAGGCTTTAAAAAATAACTTTTTAACATCTGAAGTGTTGCCTCTGCCGAATATGACCGTTACACCTGTTTTTGCATGTATATTTCACGCATGGTTAAATCTGCCAGCATTGTGATTTAACTCTAGTAGTAATAATATGCTTTTTTATTCAGTTGGCTAGAGATTTGCTACATCCATCCTTGGAAGAGGAAAAGAAAAAACATAAAAAGAAACGGCTAGTTCAAAGTCCAAACTCTTATTTTATGGATGTAAAATGTCCAGGTAAGAGTTCAAATCTTAATTCCTTTGTAAGGAAAATTTCTGTACGGATTGCTAACGCGTGGTGTGTATGTTTAGGTACATTAGGACTGTCGAGTGGAAGTGGGAATACAGAATTGGAAATGTCATAAGGGACATTTTCATAATAAATGTTCAGATAATGAGTTTTCCATTCCATGATACAATGAAAAATACGTTGGTTCTTCAGTCTAAAGCTGTGCTGCCCAGTGTGGTGGCCATCAGCCATAAGTGGCACCGAGCACTTGAAATGTGGATAGTCAAAATGGAGATGTTCTTTAAGTTTAAAATACGCAGTGGATTTTGAAGTTGTTAACACACACAAAAAAACCCATATTGATTACATGTTGACATGATAATATTTTGGAAATATTAAATTCAATAAAATATTAATTTCACCTTTTAAAAAATCTTGTTTCTGTAGCTGGTATAAAAGTTTATGTTACATATGTGGCTTGCTGTTGCACAACCCTTCAAGTTCTTAATTTTTTACATATTATTAGAAATATGTCGAACAGGTGCTATGTTTTCTTCTGCTTTTCACTTTTAACATTGCTCCCCACCCCCTTTTTTAGGTTGCTACAAGATTACCACAGTTTTCAGCCATGCTCAAACAGTGGTTCTTTGTGTAGGTTGTTCAACAGTGTTGTGCCAGCCTACAGGAGGAAAGGCCAGACTCACAGAAGGTATATCAGTTGGCATTTTCTAACCAGGGATGAGATTTTATGTAAATGTCTCCCATCTTTACTAAAAAGTTTAAAGAAATTTTAAATTCATTATTACCAAAATTCTTCTTACCTTTCATTGTGTGCTCTTTCAGTAAAGAGTGTCCTCTTCTATGGATAAATTTATACTCTTAACAACTATTAGTTTCTTAGTTTGGAACAGCCTGTTATTTTGTATTCATTCACTTAGTTTGCTTAACTTGGAATAAATTAAAAATAAATCGGAATGGAAGCAAAAGAATTACTAGGACATAGGGATTTTTAAAACTATAGAATTTTAAAATTTCTCCTGTAAAATTTTGTTTCATGTGTATTTGGTACATGTTGACTTAAGACAGATTTTTATCATTGCCAGCTAAGCAACAGATAATTAAGGTATAAATTAAAATGACAGAGGTTTTATTTTTATGAGCAACTACTTAATGATTAATGTAGAAATCAAATTTTAATTCCTCTTTCACTTTAGTGCAATAAGAAAAAAAAATTATACAGTTTGCCATAGTGATACTTGTGGATTTACAATTCCATAATGATATTTGAAATTTGCTTGTGATATTTTGGCGAGCTGTGAATTCCGTGTTCTCACTGGAAGAGTTACAAGTAGATTGGTAGCAAAACCAAGATCTATTTGGTGTGGCCTGGTGAGATGTAAGTAAGAAGAGGGCATATGATATTTAAGAGTGATGTGCTCCTAAAGTGTACTTGTAAGATTTCTGAAGCTTACATGTCATGTCATGATTTGGGAAATTTTTGCCCATATGCTGACAGATGGCTCAAAGGGTGCATCTGTACCAGTTTTCCAAATAGATCTGAAAAGAACTCTAATCAAAATTATTTTCTTAGGAAAATTATCGAGAATAGTTCATAAAAATTAAGAGTGCATCTACTGACAGCTTGCATAAAAGTTTTAACTGTTGAATTCAAGCTGGTGGTCTTAAATAGACTGTATAGCGTTTGAGAAACAGGAGTGACAGTTATAGTCGTATTAGAATAAACTCAGACATAACAATTTCTGGTATAAAAGGATAAATGTGTATGTGAATATTTCTAAAACTTTTTTATTCAAAAAGTACTTTTTGTCACTAAAATTGTACCAAAGATCGAACGGACTGCTGTTTAATATACTCTTGTGATTCCTTTCCAGGGTGTTCATTTAGAAGAAAGCAACACTAATGATCTACACAACTTCCTGAATTTGTGTTATCTCACAGAAAGCCTTATCATAAGTTCAGTAATTCTAGTTAATCTACCAAAATAATTACATTTGATTTTGTAAAGTATATAACAGTGATCTCCTATTTTGGTGTCAGTTTTTCAATAAAGTTTTGATTATGGGTAGATCCTTTTTCCTTTGTTCTTTTTAAAATATGTGTGAGAATGCCATACATTTATATATACTGTGTGTGTGAATTTGGTTTAAACATTTTTAAAACTAATCAGAATTAGTTTATGTCTCATTTCAAGAGTAGAAACCCTAAATATTTGATTTCCAGTTCCTTTCCAAACTGCCATGAATGAGACTAAGTGATTACAAATGTAAGGTCCATTATTTGTTAATTCTAAATGTAGTTTTGCTGTCGTACCTATGGAAATATTTATAGAGATGTGTATTTAATGCAGTAACAATCACCGTGCAATGCCTTGGATTTATATAGCCCTACTATCCTACTGTATATTTAGGACAGTAACGCTACCTGCTGGAGTCTTGAGTTATTGGAAGCTCCTTTTTGGACTAGAAAATTTGAGAAGAGAAATCAGGAGTAGTGTGAGTTACCTCCATAAGTCCTGGTTGGGCATAGTAGATGGTGTTGAATTCTCTGGTCCAGACATGTATGTGCACACTCCTGACTACAGATACTCGTTGAGTGGCTTTGGTGCCTCATCATCATTTTCATAGTTTGCAAAGTGACCCTGGGCAGCTGGGAAGGGGAGTGTATCTTTCCCTTTTCTAGCCACTGTATGACTCCTCATTTGACTAGGAAGATAGTCCAGTTTCTATTCTGCTTCCATTCGATTTGTTACCTGAAGGCAGGTACTTAAGGAAGGCATTTCCTATCAACAGGTGTTCCTACACACACCCCCCCAATCTGAGTGACTGATCTTTTAATATTCTGCTGCTTGTCTCAGAAATGCTGCCCAAGAACTGAAGAATGATGGGAAGTTTGGGGTATATATAATAAGTGGGGAAGTTGATGACCCAGAGTTTCTCAGACTTGGTTAAGGGCAACTTTAGAATCTTAGTAATTTCTTCACCTTGTCTCTTGGCAAAAAAAAATTAGTTAGGTTCTAATAAATTTAGAAAATCATAAGAGCAAAAGTAATGTGATAATTTTTATCTCATTCTTAAATCACTACAATTACTAATGGAAGGTATATGTCATTGGGGCTCTGCATAATTTCTCAAAATTGGGGTCAGATTGGACACCATTGTCCTTATTTCTTACACATTGATTTTTGCATAGTGCTTTTTGTTATGGCAATGGCCCCAAACCTAGCTTCATAAAGACATGATGTTATCAAAGGGAATGCAGTGCCTCTTAATGTTAAAACTGAACTACCAGTTTATATTAATACATGGTGTCCAAAAGATGTCTCGTATCAGTGTTTTTCCTGAGGTGCTCCAGGGCACCTCAGCTTGTATAATTTAGGGACCTTGGCTATAAGGAGAGCCCATGGGGATCATAGCTTTTTAATAGAAGGAATAAAACCTATAAGAACTAGGCCGGGCGCGGTGGCTCACACCTGTAATCCTAGCATTCTGGGAGGCCGAGGCGGGCGGATTGTTTGAGCTCAGGAGTTCGAGACCAGTCTGAGCAAGAGCGAGACCCCGTCTCTACTAAAAATAGAAAGAAATTAATTGGACAACTAAAAATATATAGAAAAAATTAGCCGGGCATGGTGGCACAT